CGTTCGGCGCTGAGCGCCGGCGGCGGGGTCGCCGCTGGTCGACACGCCGCGAGCCCACCGCAGCCGAATCCTGCTCGTGCCGAGGAGGAAGAGGAAAAGGAGTAGGCGGAGTGGGAAGAAGAGGAAGAAGAAGAAGAAGCAGAATAAGACGAATAATAATAAGAACAAGAAGAAGAAGAAGAAAAGAAGAAGAGGGGAGAGGAGGAGGAGGAGGAGGAGGAGGAAGGAGGAGGAGGAGGAGGAGGAGGGAGGAGGAGGAGGAGGAGAGGAGGAGGAGGAGGAGGGGGAGGAGGAGGAGCAGGAGGAGGAGGGAGGAGGAGGAGGATGAGGAGGAGGGGGAGGAGCAGGCCTCGCACTCCGCCAGGGGCCCGGCGCCCACCATGGGCCGTGGCGCGCAGCAGGTGCGCGGGCGGTCTCCCCCGAGATCCCAAGGCGCTGCGCTCTTGGTCACAGCGGGCGCCTAAGCGCGCGACTGTGGGCCCAAAGGGGGCTCGATCCTCCTCCTCCTCCTCCTCCTCCTCCCTCCTCCTCCTCCTCCCTCCTCCTCCTCCTCCTCCTCCTCTCCTCCTCCTCCTCCTCCTCCTCCTCCTCTCTTCCTCCTCCTCCTCCTCCCCCTCCTCCCCTCCTCCTCTCCTCCTCCTCCCTCCTCCTCCCTCCTCCTCCTCCTCCTCCTCTCCTCCTCCTCACCTCCTCCTCCTCCTCCTCCTCCTCCCATCTGCAGCTCGATCGGGCGCTTTTTCGCCCGACTGTGGGCCCCAGAGGGGCCCTCGCAGATCGATCCAGCGCGTCTGCTGGGCTTCGGGCCCCGGGGCCCTCATGGGTCGATCCGTCGCGGAGAGTGCTGGAAAAAAATGGGGTCTACGATCGGGATCTTTTTGCAAATCGCGTGTCGCCAAGGCAGCCTCAGCGGCACGCCATGCCCTGCGAATGGATGGCGTGTCGCTCTGCTCCGCGGAACGGAAGCTCCGAAAGGCTCGGCACGTGGATGCCTCGGGACCGCGACGCGGACACCGTGTCGCTCCGACGCGGTGGGCCAGAACAGGCGGAGCGACACGCTGTCCCAGAGATCCCGACCGCAGGGCTCTGGTCGTGACTTCCCGCGACGTTGCCGTATGATCGCACCGTCGGATCTCAAGGTCGAGGGAGAAAAGGCTGCGGCCCGATGGGTGTCTCGAGGGCCTGGGCTGGGCTGCGGGCCGCTGTCATGTCCGGCGTGCCCCGGCGGCGCGTCGGAGCGGGCGAGGGAGCAGGGCAGACCAGGTCTGCCCAAAAATGCTCGCGTCGTGGAAAAAGCACGACGGACGGTTCGTGGCGATTCTCAACCGGTGGGGGCCTTCGCCAGGCCCTGGGACCCAAAAAACAACTCGGGACCAAAAACGGGCCCAGGAGAATGGGTCGAGACTTCCGGGGGGGGCCATATGGGAAAAAACCATGACATCTCGCGCCTGGGTGTAGTAACTACGCGCTCCTGTGCTGTGCACTGCGTGGTAAAAAACTGAATGATGAGTGATGTGACGTGTCAAGCCGCGAGCGAGGGCGACCCTGTGGCGCTTCCTGGGGCATGCCTTTTGTTTGTACTATAGGCTCCTGGTTCGACAGTGCACGCCGCGGTCTCTGACACCGCGCGGCCCATTCGACCTTGAACGACATCCGTTCCCCAGTGTCGGGGGAAGCTCGCGGGCACAAGCGGGCACGAGGCCAGCGCGAGTGCCAGTCGAAGCAACGGGCGGGGCGCGCAGGAAACAAATTGGGCCACGACGGGACGCCAGAGGACAGGAGGGGCGGAGAAGAAAGCGCCGCTCGGAACGAGTAGTACAGCACGGGCGTGCCGAAGAGGAGCAGCAACTGCAGGGCGCGCAGCGAGGTAGTCCACGAGGCCGGCAGGCAGAGCCAGAGCCGAGGACATCCGGGCAAGGGAGGCAACCAGGTAAAACCTCCGCACACGACGACGAAAGAACGCGCGAGGGCCAAAGCCAAGGGCGCAACGTCAGACCACCGTGGCGCGAGCATCGACGCTCAGGGCCAGCAGAAGCTGGCGCTGTGAGATAGGTACGGGGGCCGCGAAACCCACTCGGAACGGGGCCCAGGAAACGATCCGATCGTGCAGGATCCAACCGGCAAGGTGAGCAGGAGCAGGCGCCGAAAGAGAACGGAAACCGCGCGGAAGAAGGCCGTGGACAACATGAGCACCACAGCCAATGTGATCAGGGGCTCCTGGCACGCGAACAGGGGAAAGACGCTCGGCCATCGAGCACCAGGGCGGCGAGAAATCGGAGCAGCGTGGGAATGGGACGCGAAGCGCGCGAACGCCACGGCGCCAGGCCACAGCGGCCCCCTGGCGAAGCAGGGCATCGGGCGGCGACCGACGAGACCGGGTGTGGGAACCCGCAAGGGGCGCGCGACCAGGCCGACGAGAGACGCTGGAGGGCCGCAGGCGCAAAGCCCGACCGGCGCGGGAGGAACCGCGCTGCCAGGGAGCGAGAAGCCCGGACAGCGCGGGAGAAGACCAGTCGCCGAGCGCGTTCCACTACTCGCAGAGTGCCTACTCGCAGACGTCCGAAAAACCCACGCTCGCCTCGATGTAATATATCGTAAACCCACCACGGCGGATCCAGGAGATTTGCGAGTGGTGACTTTGCGAGTAGTGGAACGCGCCTGCCTAACCGGGGCCGCACCACCGCAGGGCGAGCCAGGTGCCGGGGCCAGGTGCGCAGCCGCCGCGTCCAGGGCCAAGAGGTCCCCGGCCGGGCACGCGGACCGCCACCCCGCGCCGGCGCCGCGGCAGCGCCACGGCCTCTCGCTCGGCCCACTCCGCGGCGTCGTGCCCGGCGGCCGCGAGCGCCCTCGGAGGCACGCCGGGCATCGAGTAGGGCTGGGGGGTCAGGTCTGCAGAGCACCCCAAGCGGACGTCCAAAGGGCGCAATCAACCTGTTCGGTCAAGCTTCAAGCTGAAATTGATGCACCACACCCGGCGTCAAGCCAAACCTTTGGACATAAGCGAACGGTTGGACTTTGCACATCTTCGTCGGCTTCACCGGCAAGGCGGTTGACCGCCTTGACGTCGCGGTCGCCAAATCCATGGATCGGGGAGAAGCCCTCCCCAAAATGCGGCTGGTGCCGCCTCTTTCAGCGGCGGAAGCCCGCAATTTCCCGTGGAAACGGGACCCGTCGCTAATCCACGCCCCCTTCGTCCATGTTTGCGATCGCCTGATCCTTGCTGCCGAGACTGCGGCGCCAGGGGCCCGAGGACACCGCCCAACGATGCCCCCCGCCGCAGGCCTCGTGGCGGCACGGTGCCTCGAGAGCAGAGGCCCTCGGGGAGGCGGCAGGAGGCGAGGGCGAGGCACAGAGCAGGGCAGGAGGAGAGAGAAGCACGGAGCGCGCGAAGCACGCCCGCACATGGGCACCCTCCGGGGAGGCTGCGGGTGCGGCGCTGGAGCGCCGGAGCATCAGCACAGGAGGCCCGGTTGTTCGGTCCTTACAGCTTCTGATCTCTTGCCTCAGGAGAGAAAAAAAAAACACACACACACACAGACACAATTAATCGTCGACTCCCCGGAAAATACGGGAAAATATGGGAAGTGGGGGGGAGACAGAAACCCAGAAAATATAGGAATATGTGGGGAATCCTGTTATTTGTGCGTGTGTGTGTTTATTTGTGTGTCCCAGGGCCCCTTCATTGCCGCTGATGCGGGGAGGCGACAGGGGGGCGAGAGAGAGGGGGGGCGAGAGGCGAGAGAGGTGGAGGCGACGGGCGGCGAGAGGGGAAGGGGGCAGGGAGCGGTGGGGGTGTGGGGGGGGGGGGCACGCGGGAGAGCCCCCGGGCCCCCCAGCCACGGGACTCCGGGTGATCAGTGAACAGCACACCCTCAAACTTATACAGGGCAGTTTCTAATACATGGGATGCTTCAAAAATATCGGATTTTTCATACATGATTAATGTATGAATAAATTTAGGCATGAACACATCGTTGTTTTTAGTACAAAATCCCTGCATGTTTAATAAATGATTCGCACGCGGAGCATGTATTAAAAACGGCACTGTATAGGGAGGAGGAATGTGGAAGGGCGGGGCGATGAACGCGCTAAAGGCATGGGTGTGAGCTGTCGGACCCCGAGAGGGGTTCCCTTTCGAGCGGGGGCCCCCATCCGACAGCACGCACCCATAGCCCCCCCCAGAAGCCCACCCCAGGAATTCTGAGGGACGTATAGGCATAGGCGCTAGTTGCCAGATCGTGACCAGAAGCCCCTCCGTGAGCCGAGACTGAGACTGCACAACCCCACCTCGCGGGGAGAGAGAGACAGAGAGAGAGAGAGAGACAGAGAGGGAGAGAAGAAAAGAGAGAGAAGAAAAGAGAGAGAAGAAAAGAAAAAAGAAAAAAAGAGAGAGAAAAAGAGAGGAAACAAGATGTGATTATCCTGCCTGGCCTGATGTGGCTCTCCGACGGCCCCGAGACAGCCTCGAGCGGTCAGCGAGGCCCCGCCATGGGCTCCGAGACGGCCCGAGGGCGGCCCCGAAGATGGCCCCGTGGCCGGCCGAAGACGGCTCCGAGGTGGCCCGAGGTGGCCTCGAGACCGTCCATCCCCTGCTGTTCCCGACGCCTCCCAGCCCCCATCCCTTCCTCTCACACACCCTTCCCGTTCGCCTCCCCCCCCTCTTTGCCCTCTTTCACCTTCCATTCCCGGCCCCGTTCCCACCTCCCCCTCCCCGGCTCTCCGCGTCTTCCTCTCATTCCCTCCCAATCCCCATGCCCTTTATTTCCCTCCGGTTGTCATTCCACCTCCCTCACTCCCGCCCCTCTCCCCTCCCCATCCCTTTTTCCTTCGCTTCACCTTCTCCCTCCATCCCCCCCCTCCCCCTCACCCCCTCATCCCTCTCATCTTCCTCCCCCTCCTTGGTGTCCTCTTCCGCCGACCAGGATCGAAGGAGAAAACCTGATGGACGACGACGTCGGCGACGACGATGGAAAACGACTATGGCAAGGATCCAAGGTACAGGC